ATCTTTTGTTTTCTTTTTCAGTCTCTATTTCATTTATTTCCACTGGATTCTTATTTTCTTCTAACTTTAGGTTTCTTTTTTTTCTTTTTCTAATTCCTTTAGGTACAAGGATAGATTGCGATTTTTCTTGTTTCTTGCAGCAGCCCTGTATTGCTGTAACTAGGAACTGTTCAATGACTAAAACATTTTGTTTTCATTTCGTCTTTGATTTCTTTCTTTACCTATTGGTTATTTAGTAGCATGTTGTTTAGCCTCCGAGTTTTTTTCCTTATGTTTCATCAATGTTGTGGTCTGGAAAGATAGTTTACATGATTTTATTCTTTTTTAATTTGTTGAGAATTACTTTGTAGCCTAACATGTGATCTATCCTGGAGAATGTTCCATATGCATTTAAAAAGAAAGTGTACTCTGCTGGTTTGGGATGGAACATTCTGTATATATCTCTTAAGTCCATCTGGTCTAATTTGTCATACAAAGCCACTGTTGTTTTTTTTTTAATTAATTGACTTCTTGTCTTGATCCATCCATTGATGCTGGGGTGTTATAGTGCCCCACTATTATTGTATTACTTTATTTAGGTGATTCTACATTTGGTGCATAAATATTTACAACTATTATATACTCTTGTTGGCTTGATCATTTTATCATGTAATTTTCTTTTACCTCTTGTTACAGTCTTTGTTTTTAAAGTCTATTTTGTCTGACATAAATATTGCTACCCTTCTTGTTGTTCCATTTGCATGGAATATATTTTTCCATTCATTTTCAGTCTGTAGGTGTCTTTAAGTCTGAAATTAGTCTCTTGTAGGCAACATATAGATGGGTTGTTTTTTGTCTTTTGATTGGGGCATTTTGTTCATTTAAAGTAATTATTGATAGGTATGTATTTATTGCCATTTTGTTAATTATCTTCTGATTGTTTTTGTAGTTCTGCTCTGTTCCTTCATTTCTTGCTTTCTTTCCTTGAAGACTTTTTTTTTTGCTGTTATGTATGGATTCCTTATTTCTTCTATACCAATTATAGGTTTTTGTGTTTGGTTATCATAGAGTTCATATATAAACCCCAAGTATACAGCATTCTATTTTAAGTGGATGGTGACTTAAGTTTGAACACATTTAAAAGCACTGTATTTCTCTACTTCTCTCCAATTTTTATGTATATGATACCATATCCCTTAATTATTGTAGATATATAATTGATTTTGCCATTCTTGCTTTCGACCTTTATAGCTCTTTATTTTCCCCTTTAAAAAGTCTCGAACATTTCTTGTAAGGTCAGCATAGTGGTAATAAACTAGGTATCCAATTCTGAATGATGTTTATTTTTTTTGTAGGTGTTTCCCTTTTAGCACACTGAATATAACATGTCACTCCATTCTGGTCTGCAACATTTCTGCTGAAGAATCAGCCGATACCCTCTGGAAGTTCTTTGTAAGTGACTAGTTGCTTTTCTCTTGCTCTTTTTAAGACACCCCCCCCCTTTTTTTTGACATTTTAAATATATGTTTGTGTGGACATCTTTCTATTCATCTTGTTGAGATATGTTTCATTCCCCAGTTTGACATTTTCAACTATCATTTTTTTTTTAGTACACTTTATGCCCCTTTTTCTCTTTTCCAGGGAGCTAGAATATGAATGTTACTATGCTTGATACATTGTCCAAGAGATCCCTTAACCTATTCTTTTTTCTTTTTGTTATTCAGCTTGGGTGCTTTCCATTACCTATCTTCCAGATCACTGATTCATTCTTTATCCTCTAATCTGTTGATTCCTTCTGCTGTATTTTTCATTTCAGTTATTATATTCTACAGCTCAGATTGGTTGGGGTTTAATTTTCTATCATCTCTTTAGTAAATTTCTGAGATCATCCACCCTTTCTTGAGTCCTGTGAGCATCTTTTTGACTATTATTTTGAACTCTTTTTATCTTATTTATTTGGAACAATGGAATTTGACTGTATTAGGTTAGGTCAGCTACATCTCCTGGTCTTAAAAGCAGCAGCCTTCTGTAGAAAGTGTCCTGGGGGGCCCAGTATATAATACTTTTTGGTCACCAGGGGTGACTCCTGGATGGGCTGGGCTGGCCGCCAATAGGTGGGGTTAGCTCCCAGCACAGCTGGCTGTAGCTGCAGCTGGGTGGGAGGGGCCAGCCTCTAGTAGAGCTGGCTGAGAGGCCTTACCACAACTGCTGTGGACATGCTGTAGGCAGAGCTGGCTGCCCTCCCCGACCCCTAAGGTAGATGGAAAGTGCCTGAACTGGCTCCTGCCAGGCTAGGGTGAGAAAAATGGCATCCCCCCGCCCCATTACTGTCAAAGAAAGTGCCTATAGATTTCTGCCCCTCCAGCACATGCCCTAAAATTAGTATAATTTTACATTTATGTATAATCTAGATTATAGAATCTAGATATGCTTTAAACTGCTGCTGCTTGGACCATGTGATATAGTGTTTGTTTGTCCTTCAAGAGAGGAGTCTATTTCCTATAGCTCCCTCAGGCTCTCCCAGTGTTAAGCCCTAATGATTTGCAAACCCAGCTTTTTAGTGAAAGGTTCCAGGGCTTTGGGCACCCAATGTGGGGCTTGATCCCCTTGCTCCTCAGGGAGTAACTCAACACCTGTGATGTGGATCACCACATTGGGAGTTTAGTTCACAGTATTCTTGTCAATGTGACTTTCTCTTCATGCTTTTAGTTGTGGAGATCTATTCTGCCAATTACAGGTTATTTTCAGAGTGAGTTCCATTATATGTAGTTGTTGTTTCAAAGTATCCATGGGAGGAAGTGAGCTCAGGATCCTCTTTTTCTACTATTTTCCACACCTATAAACATTTTTTAGAAGGCCTGAACAGTTGTGGGCAAATATATTGAATCCAATTATGAATAATTAATTGATTCAGGTGCATTTACTCTTCCTTTAGTGATACACCTCAAATCTAGTATCACATTCACTGTTGAAAAACTAAAGCCTTTCCTCTAAAATCAGGAACAATACAAGGATGTCCAGTCTCATCTCTTTTATTCAACATACTACTGGAAGTACTAGCTGCAGCAATTAGAGAAGAAATAACCGTTATCTAAATTGGTAAGGAAGAAGCAAAACTGCCACTATTTCTAGGTGACATGATACCATATATAGAAACCCTAAAGATTTCAACTACTAAAATAAGTGAATTCATCAAAATTGAGGATACAAAATTAATATAGAAATCTGCATATCTATACACTAATAACAAACTAGCAGAAAATTTAAGAATATAATCCCACTTATAATTGCATTAAAAAGAATAAAATACCTAGGAATAAATTTAACCAAGTGAAAGACCTGTACTTGAAAACTATAAGAAAGACACTGAGGAAGTAATTAAAGGTGACACTAACATGAAAAGATAAACCATGTTAATGGATTGGAAGAATATTTTTAAACCGTGCATTCTACGCAATCTATAGGTTCCATGCAATCCTGATCAAAATACCAATAGTTTTTTTCATAGAACTAGAACATACAATCTTAAAACTTGCATGGAACCACAAAAGTCCCCAAACTGCAAAGCAATTTTGAGAAAGAACCAAGCTAGAGGTACCAGAATTCCAGATTTCAAGATATACTACAAAGCTACAGTAGTCAAAACAGTACAGTACTGACACAAATATAAATACATATATCAAGGGAAGAGGATCTAGACCCCAGAAATAAATCTACACTTTTATGGTAAATTAATCTCTGAGAAAAGAGGCAAGAGTATACAATGGGGAAAACATAGTCTCTTCAATAAATGGTATTGGGATAACTGGACCACTTTCTTACACCATACACAAAAATAAACTCAAAATGGATTAAAGACCTAACTGTAAGATCTGAAACCATAAAACATCTAAAACAAAACAAGCAGCATTTTATGGATATGTCTCCTCAGGTAAGGGAAACAGCAAAAATAAACCACTGAGACTATGTCAAGCCAGAAAGATTTTGCCCAGTGATGGAAACTATCAACAAAATGAAAAGCAACCAATTTAATGGGAGAAGATATTAGCAAATGATATATCCTACAAAGTGTTAATATTCAAAATATATAAAGAACTCACACAATACCAAATATGATAATCTAATTAAAAATGGGCAGAGAGGGGTGCTCACATGGCTCAGTCCGTTAAGTGTCTGCCTTCAGCTCAGGTCATGACCCCAGGGTCCTGGGCATAGGATTCCCTGCTCGTGCACATGCACACACACATGCTCTAATAAAAAAAAAATCTTTTAAAAAATTTTAAATTTAAATTTAAAAAAAACGGCCAAAGAACCTGAATAGACATTTTTCAAAGAAGACATATGGATGGCCAATGGACACAGGAAAAGATGCTCAACATCACTAATTATCAGGGAAATGCAAACCAAAACCACAATAAGATATCGCCTCACACCTATCAGAATAGCTAGTATCAAAAAGACAAGAAATAACAGCATTGGCAGAGATGTGGAGAAAAAGTACTTTAGTGCACTGTTGGTGAGAATGTAAATTGGGTGCATCCACTATGCAAAACAGTAGGGAGATTCCTTGAAAGTTAAAAATAGAAATACTATTCGTAATTCCACTTCCGGGTATTTACCTATAGAAAATGAAAACCTTAATTCAAAAAGATATATGGACCCCTATGTTTATTAAAGCATTATTTACATGACCCAAGATATGGGAGCAACCTAAGTGTCCACTGATTGATGAATGGATAAAGGACATATGATGTACATACAAAAGAGAGTATTACTCAGTCATGAAAAAGAATGAAATCTTGCCATTTCCATCAACACGGATGGAACTAGAGGGTATTACGCTAAATGAATTAAGCCAAACAGAGAAAGACAAATATCATATAATTTCATAAACAAATGAGCAAACTATTGCCTTGAGGAGAGGGCAGAGTAGGGATAAGGGAAACAGATAAAGGGGATTAAGAAGTACAATCTTCCAGTTATAAATAAGTCATGGGGATGAAAACTATGGCTTAGGGAAGATGGTCGATAACACTGTAATAACTTCATACGTTGACACATGATTACACTGATTTTGGTGAACATTTTGTAATGTAAAGAATGGGTAAATCACTATGTTATATACCTGACAGTAATATAATGTTGTATATCAACAATTTAAAAAATAATTTTTAATTTACAAAATGTTTACATGTCATTCAACATTATCAGAGTTTAAATAATATGATGATCGGTAAATAAACATTCAAATTCATAAGTAAAATGACTTGGTTCATTTCATTATGTCACATACCTTGTAATTTCAGTTTTGGTCTGGTCTAAACTTACCTATCTCCTTCCATCACTGGAACACCTCCATGAAGTCCTCATACCCTAAAATATCACTAAGCCCATTAAAGCCACCAATAGAGACTGAGCAAAGAATAAAGGGAATCATGGACAAACTAGACCAGCTGATCCCCCCCAGACCTTTCACCCACATGAACCCCACCACCAGTGCCGCACACAGCACAGCCAACATCCTCCAGCCTTGAGACACCTACTGCAGGGGGGGATCAGCTAGACATCCGACTAGAGGGGAGGGACCACTTGGGATGCAGGAAGGAAAGTAGGTGGTATTTCCCGAGGGCCAGGATGTCATCCCCATCTCTAAAACAGGCACTGCAGGAAAGGTGACAGACTTCCACAATGGCACCTACCTTGTCAGTGTCACTCTGTTCTAGGAAGGCCAGGTCTCTGTCCTCCTGATCATCCACCCCAGTGAAGGAGTATCTGCTCTCTTGAGGGCAAGGAACCAAGGCCATGACAGGGTTATTTTCAGAGGTAAATTTGTTAATGGCACCACTCATGTCTTCGCTGAATATGGCCTGACCCTACACTCAAGTGCTGAGCTGCGTGAGACCTCAGCACACACCCTGTGAGGCCCTGATTCACATGACCACTCAGAATGGAGAGATTCTTATCTTACTGTCAAGGAATAAAGCCTTTTTCACACATAAATATACATTTAAACACTCTGAGAAGTTCCCATGGGCAGAGCTATATTGCCCATCTCAATTAATATTGAACATGACATTTTCAGATGCCTCTTCTACTCAAAGTCTGGTGAGACATGTGGTGTGTTTGTGAGATCCCTTTTTATGACTCCCACTGCCAAGATTGGCATTCTCACCAAAATGTTCACTAACAGAGGGCTGCCCAAAGTAGAACTCTGTGTTATATGTACTTTTACTTTCCCATGATGATCAGTATTCTCAGATTCAATCATGTCTTTTACTGTAGACCTAGGTTTACAAAATATGTTCAGCGTAAAAGTATTCTGTGTTTAAAATGTTACACCAAAAAAGGATTCTTTGATAAAATGAACATCCATGTGCTTTCATCCCCCATATCCTATTATGTAGATTCCACCTCTTAAATATCTTTTGCATTCATCCATTTCTCTCCATGCCTAGTGCTGCTGAGTTCAGATTATCACCTCATTTAGACTACTTGTCATAGCTTCCCTCCCAACAATCCTACCATCTCTAATCCACTGTCCACACTGCATCCTGAGTAATCTTTCCCAAAAGCCAACTCCTACTGGTCATCTCCAGTTGATCTCAAGATCAGACTCTCCTCAGCATGTGCTGCTCAGGTTGAAGGAGTCCATATTCACCAAATTGTGATGTAGTGATTCTTAAAAGCCACCAGTTAACAGGCCTCCACAAACTGGAATATAAGCATATTTCTCTCATCAATCATGGCTGCATCAATTCTATATCTTTCTTCCCTTGCTCACAATAGATGCTCACTCCTTGGTCTACCAGTTCTCCATTAAGCTGGAAAACTTCATTGCTTAGAATGAACTATCATGATCTTTTCATGAGCCATTCTGCAAAGGGTAACTCTGTACCACCACAAATACAGAACCTGTGGGCCAAGCCCTGAGACAACTTATCAGTTCCAGATTCTTTTGCTCCTTTGCTAACTTTAAGTTTCAGAAGCTCAGTCCGATTCCTCTTCCTTTCCATTCTGCTACTATCCATTTTGATCCTGAGGAATAATTTTCCCTAAGCCTAACGACAGAGTGGAATGCTACCTTCTTCCCTCAAGCTTTCAAAAAATATGCTAAGAGGAAGTAAAATATGGATAGCAAATACGGAAAAAATAACATGCATTCCAGATTTCGTGTAGCTATCCAAGTGTTGATCTGTAGTCCCTGACTCCCTTCTGAAATAAGTAAAAGCTCAGTTGGGTTTCTGTTCTTTCTCTTTGATCTCTGATGGTGCATCACACCAAATCTTTTCCTACCCACTAACCATTCTTATGCCTAAAGTCACAGTAAGGATGAAAATGTGATCTCTTCCCTTTTTTCTGAATTGAACCTGAGAGTCATGTACAGCAGAGAATTAAGTACCACTTATATTTGTTATACCTAGCACCTGGATCCCCATTCCTCCTATATTCCCTTTTACATATACACATACACAGGTTTGAAACAAAGAGTGAATCAAAAGGAGGATAAGAGCTTTGAAGCAGGAAGACTCATCAGCTGGAGGAAAAGAAATGCAATGTATATTTATTCATGCATCAGACTAAACATGACTTTCTGCCAGCCTCTTTGAAGATACTAGGGAGATAGCCGTGAATCAGGCAAATGCACTACCTTCCTTGATATAGTTCACAATCATCAGAAGGTGAGTTTCTAGGAAAAATGGAAGGTAAGCATAGCAAGAAACGTAGATAAAGAAGCAGGAACCCTGTGAAAAAAGGTCTGCATACCATGCTAAGGAGCCTGAAGTCCTTAAGTAAGTCATTGGGATTTTAAATAGTAATGAATGCAGTTGCATTTGCAACTAGAAAGGGTGTTCTGGCAGTTGTATTGAAGAATATAGGTGGGATGAAACTGAGGCAGCTTGGTTAATTAGAAGCTCACAGTAATCCAAGAAAACTATTACATGAACTTGAATAAGTGATGCAGAAACAATGAAAGAAGAGACCTTGCTTATTAGATAAATATTTTGAATTGAAAATCCCAGGACACACGGATTGCATGGGGCAGATAAGCAGAGTGGCCCTGGACTTCAGGTGCTCTCAGAAAGGTAGACAGTTTTCCAAAATGCTAATCCATATACAATGTCCAATACATACAAAATTCACAATAATTTTCAGTTGTAGAAAATTTTAAATTATTTTTTACTCACAAACAAAAGGCTTCTATTACCTGTATTGTATGGACAGACAGCAGGCTAATTTGTTATCTTATTTTCTGAAGGTTCAATGTGGGAGTTGAAATGGTGAAACCTCTTAAACTCATGGACATCTCCAATGTAATAGTAAGTTTGTTCTGTCCTGTGGTGGGTGGTGCATGGCGTGGGTCTTCCAAGAGATATTCTTATGCAGGGGTAAGTTTATCAATATGAATCCTAGTAATCATGGATTTCCTGGAGCACAATTCCTAGCCGGTGTTTGTGATGTCAGTCACCTTGGATTTTAAAGAGAGAAATCAGCTCAAGGAAATTATTTCAAATTTTTTTTATAACAGATTTTTATAGTTGTTTATCCAAAAGGGGAAAGTGTTAGTATCCTACATTCATATTTAAACATGGTAGTGCATCTCCTAGAGTCAGTGATCTGTCTGGGGCACTGTGCAAATGTCTTTGATGGTTACCCACAGCTTCAGAATAGGAACATTTTGGTTTGGTTATCCTAATTCTCTGTTGGCATAACTTCCTAACCTTTAGTTTATGCACTTAGCAATTTTATATGGAGTGTCCTTTTTATTAAATGTGTTTTAGTGGCAAATGCAAAGCCATGTTACTTATAAAAGAATAATGTTTATACTTGGCTTTAAAATAACTTTCTATAAAGCCTATCTGAGTTTACCAATAACATTCATTTTGAGATTTATTTCAACTAATGATTTATTGCCTAATATTTATTCATGTATTCTGCAAATGTTTATTAAGGTTCTAATAGATATGAGGAATTATGGGCAAATGGAGAAAAATAAATGTTCAGCAAGGTTGCAATCCAAAAGACATTCAACCTACCAATTCTATGAAGAAAGTAAAAAGGCAAGGGCTTATGTTAAAGTTGATATTTGACTTAGCCCTGAAGGATATCTGTAGACAGAGAATGAGGTGAAAGAGAAAACTCATAAAAATCATGAGTAGGGTTGCCAGGTTTAGCAAATAATCATCTAGGGTATAAGTTAAATTTGAGTAATTTCTAAGTGTTTATGCATATTACATAAGATAAAGAGTAAATACGGCACAGAAAATACACTAAGTTATTCCTTATTAGAAATAATTCAAATTTAATTTGGCATCCTGTATTTTTTTTTTATCTGATAACTCTACTTGTAAGCAAAATCACCATGAACTTTGTTCAATAGGCCAATGGAGTGAGAGTATTTAGTGGACCATAGCAAAGGAAGAGGCTAGAAAGAAAGGAAGAAACCAAATGACCATGCTGAGAATTTTAGGGTTCATTCAGTAAGCTTTTGAAAGCTACAAAAATCAACTAAGGAAGAGAGTGATGTGATCCACTTTGTGCTCTGAGAAGCTATTTCACAAATTTAACAAAATGTGCATGATCTAGGGGCGCCTGGGTGGCTCAGTCCATTAAGTGTCTACCTTCGGCTCAGGTCATGATCTTGAGGTCCTGGGATCAAGCCCTGCATTGGGCTCCCTGCTCAGCCAGGAGCCTGCTTCTCCCTCTGCCCCTCCGCCCTGCCTGTGCTCTCTCTCACTCTATCTCAAATAAATAAATAAAATCTTTTTAAAAAAAATTTTTAAAATGTGCATGATCTACAGAAAGAGACGTTTCATGTTACTAAGTGATAAACTAAGGGGCTTTTTTTCTTCTATTTCTATAAATGTTGTTGGATGGGATGACTTGATGTTGAAAGGTGTCAAAGTGGCTTAAAACAATAAAAATATATCATCTTGCAGTTCCGTGGTTTAGTAGTCAAACATCTGTCTCACTGAGCTAAAATAAAGGTATTGGCAGCATTCTTTTCGGGAGGCTCTAGGGCAGAATCTGCTTCCTTGCCTTTTCCAGCTTCTAGAGGTGCCCTTGTTCCTCCTCACAGCCCCCTCCACCATTTCACAAAGCTACAACAATAGGTCAAGTCCCCACATCACATCCTTCTGACCCACTCTTCTGCCTCCCTCTCCCCCTTTTGAGGACACATGAGATTTAGATTGGTCCCACCTGGATCATCCAGGAAAATCTCCCATCTCAAAATCCATACCTATAATCATATCTGGAAAGTCCCTTTTGCCAGGGAAGGTAACATATTCACAGGTCCCAGGGATTAGAATGCAGGTATCTTTGGGGAGACATTAGTCTCTCTACCGTAATCTTTAAACTAATCAATAAATATAATGGAATCTTATTATTAACATACTGTTAAGTAAATGTTAATACTAATCATAAGGAAATTTGTTATATATCTGATATATATATATATATTAGCTTGACACTTGGCAAAATGAATACCTTGACACATAAATATTGTACAAGATATGGTTTACAATAATAAGCTTAAAGGCTCTCTTCTCACCAAAGCATGCCACTACATTATTAGGATGGGTGTATGGATCTTAAGATTCCAGGGTAACGATATTCAGTCATCCAGGGTGCAATGTATCAAACCTCACAGAAACCCAACCATGTCACACTAAAATTTTAATATAATTATAGGATTATGGAAACTCTCTTTAGCAAACCAAATCACCAGGACTTAGCTATTCCAGGATTACCTGAAAAATTCTTATTTCAGAATTTTCCAATTCTTCCACCATCACTATTTTTCCACTTTGTCCACAGGTTACAAACACAGTACAACCATGCTTATGACTATTCTGTGGATCTAGACAACCAGGGAATGCAAGGTCTATGGGGGACTAAGCATGGGGAGTAAAGCAGAGACTGGGCGTGGTCTCCCAGTATCCCTTCTCCCTTCCCTCTTTGGTAACAAAACACCATTATTTATCTGGGCCCATGGTCACCCACCTAAAGGCTATAGTCTTCCTTGCAGCTAGTGGTGACCATAACTATATTTTGGCCAGGATTATGAGTGGAAGTGCTATGGGAAACATCTAGGTCATGCCTTAAGAATAAAACAACTTGCCCTCCCCTTCCTATTGATTAAACTCTAGATATAATGCTGAGAGATCAAAGAGCCATGTTAGACCATGAGATTGCTGTCATATGTTAAAAATAGCACCATGGGGTGCCTGGGTGGCTCAGTCGATTGGGCGTCTGCCTTCGGCTCAGGTCATGGTCCTGGGATTGAGCCCCACATCAGGCTCCCTGCTCAGCGGGGAGCCTGCTTCTCTCTATCCCTCCACCTCTCCCACCCACCCTCCCATTCATGCATGCTCTCTATCTCAAATAAATAAATAAAATCTTAAAAAAAAAAAAAAGAATAGCACCTTGATTGTGATGATGGTATCATGGGTATAAGCATATGTTCAAATTCACCCAACTGCATACATTAAATACATGTAGTTATTTGTTGTCAGTTATACCTCAGTAAAGCTATAAGAAACTAATAAAGTTAAGATTATCATACCTTCTCCAAAAAAAGAGTGGCAGAATAAGGCAGATGGAACTGGAGCCCTTGAAACCATGGAACATCATATTGGCCTTGGCCTGCTTACTTTAGGACTGTTATGTGAGGGATAAATAAATTTATATTTTTAAGTCATTATTATTTGCTTCCTGTCTAATACAGAATATGGTATCAGTACAGAAATGCTATGTAACAAACCTAAAATAGAAGGCATTCACTCAGTGGGGATGAGGAGGGGCATAGTGAGTTAAAAGGAAACTTGACAGGTGAGAAATCTGATGATTTTCATTATGCCATAGCAAAACTTTTGGTGCATTGCTACATACAATGCCTTGGAAGGCAGACATGTGCTAACAGAGCCTGTAATTCTAATGGAACTTGCTGGAAAATCTCAGAATATTAGTTTGTGTTGTCTGCTGTATGTTACTTTTTGTGAAATCCTATTTTTAAAATATCAATTCAAACTAGGTATTTTACTATTTGGATTTTTTTAAATGTGGGTGTATTATATTTTTAAGCTAGTTTTTAACAAAAATATTCCTATGGAAAAAAAATTTCATAGAGAAAATAAAACTACTGCTTCATTAATGGAACAAAGGTAAGTAGTTTGGTGCAAGGACACCAATTTTTAGACCACTAATATTCAAGTTAGAGACAAAGAGCTAACTATGGGAGAAAATGAACAAGAAGGAGTCAAGATGACTCAAATGAATGAGTAGAAGTGGCTAAAACAAAGCTGGTGATCAAAAAATAGTAAGAGGAAGGGAAGGAATTAGGAAATAGTGTGAGGAAGAGAGAAAGAAATCAACAAAGGGAAGGACAAAGAAAGAAGGTTAGATATTTAATTTATGCCAATAAAATCACTTACCACAAGTGTTTCTGTTACTAGAGAGTGAAAAAATAAAAGACAAGTACCAAGTCAGAATGAAGATTCCTGTCCCTGGTAGTTATACTTCAGAAGGAAGGTAGATTACAATATTTTATAACCAGATTCAGATAAATACAATTGAAATAAATGACTGTTTGAAAGGAAAATTCTTTTACCTCCTGGGAGACTCTACACTGCACCAGTGGATCGAATACTTACCCAAACTTGCAAAAAGTATGTAATTATTTTACATTCTTCAGAAATTCAGGCTGATATTAAAGGACTTTTAATGAGATCTCTATTCTCTCATTTCGGTTATTTTATTTTCAACTTCATTTAGATTTCTAGATTTGAGCCTTTTAATTTAAAATATGTTTTATTCCCTTTTTCACAAGAAATGTTGTTCCTTTTTATAAATTCCAATGAAAACTTTACATTTTGATTGATATTTCATATATGAACAGATAACCTACCCTAAAGTGTAGGATGTTCCAATCAAAAATAATCTAGATAGATGAGTATTTTAAATGATAGAATATTCTTTTTAAAAATATTAATCATTGCCTTTGAGTTAAAAAAATTTTTTATTAGCACTAAACTTTTTTGATCTTCATGGAACTGGAATTTTTTTGAGTATTTATTTATTTGAGAGACAGAGAGCATGAGTGAGGGGGGAAAGGGAGAAGCAGACTTCCCGCTGAGCACAGAGCCTGATCCCAGGACCTTGAGATCATGACCTGGGCCAAAGGTGGACCCTTAACTGACTGAGCCACCCAGGCACCCCATGCAACTGAAATTTTTAAGAAACATTTGCTTTTGGATGCAGACAGACACATTTAGATTGGGTGGAAAAAACATAGCTACTCTTTTGTCACTCTTTCAGCTCTAATCTGTGATAGATGAGGGTTATATCCCTCAGGAAATTGACTGGATATCAGGTGACAAAAATGAAAAGATTATCATCACACTTGGCCAGCACTTCAGGCCCTTCCTCACTGACATTTTCATTCACAAGGCCATCGGTGCCTAAAAAGCTTCTCAAGTACTGTTCCTAAAAAGCCCAGCCACTAAAGTGATCTTTAAGACAGAAAACATCAGGGAGACACAGAAATGTTTGGAAAGTTTCATGGTTATATTAAATATCTTGCCATAAGGACATTTTCAAAGATCTCAGTGTGTGTGTCATTGCATATGTGACATGATCATTTGCATATGGCATGAAGTGTCCACCCACATGATCATGTAATTGGAAATCAGATTAACGTGTTCTTTAAAAAAAAAAAAAGAATTTATTTATTTGAGAGAGAGAGAGAGCAAGAGCATGAGTGGGAGAGGGGCAGAGGGAGAAGCAGACCCCCCACAGAGCTGGGAGCCTGATGTGGGACTTGATCCCAGGACCCTGGGATCATGACCTGAGCCGAAGGCAGACGCTTAACCGACTAAGCCACCCAGGCGCCCAGATTAACATGTTCTTAAACTACATTTGCTGAAGCATAAATATACAAAATCCCTAGAAACCAATCTCTACAAATAATTCTACTTGTATTGTCAGAGAAATTTTATTTTAGAGACAAAGAAAATCAAAATCAAAAGAATCTGTCTGGGCAGGGAGGACATTTAAGAACAAAGACAAACAACACTGGATGCAAAGCCAGGAGAATAAGACATGAAGAATGACTATACCATCCCTGGAGACTGTCTACATGTGATAATAAATGTTCACATTCCTTAAACAAGTTTGAGTCATAATTTCTGTTACTTGCGGCTGAAAGCATCCTACCTGATACTTTAGTAGGGTAAAAGAGAATAAACATGTGATCATCATGATGTGTCATCCAACATTTTCTGTAAAGGGCTAGATAGTAAATGTTTTACACTTTGCAGATCATTCAACTCTGTTACAACTGCTCTGCCATTGTAGGGTGAAAGCAGCCATAGACAACATGTAAATGAATTCGTATGGCTATGTTCCAATAAAACTTTATGACACTGAAATTCCAATTTCATATAATTTATTCTTTTGACTTCCTCCCAGATTTTTAAAAATACAAAAACTAATCTTAAACTTCCAGGGAATATGGCAGAGAAGGAAGGTCCTAGGCTCACCTTGTCCTATGGATATACCCAGATAACACCCACATCAATATAAATATAAACTCAGAAAATGACCCAAAGGCTGGCAGAACAGACTCTCCACAGCTAACTGTAGAGAAGAGGGTAGGAAGGGTGGAAACAGAGTCAGGAGCCAAACTGACCCATGGGAGAATAGGACACCATAGGCATGGAGAGGGGAGAGGAACAGAGCACATACCGGTACCTCAGACCCGGGGAACTACACTGGGAAGATGACTCTTCATAACATTTGGCTTTAAAAACCAGAAGGGCCTAACTTTGTGTGTTCTTACAATCAGCGGGGTTAACACCTGGAACTTTAAAAATCAGCAGACTCAGCTCTGGGAGAGTCAGAGGGTGATAGGAAACTGTATCCCTGCTCTTAAAGAGACAGCATAACAAACAGCCCTTTTGAGATACAGCAGAGAAGCAGCAGTTTGGAAAATGTCTGGGGTGTACAGGAGAGAGATTTATTTACTAATCTCAGAGTGTGTGCTGAAGGGACAGAGAAGTCTTTGGGAGACTTCTCCAAGGAAAAAAAAACTCACATGATGCTTCTCTCTCCCACTTCCCAACCTAGATACAGAGACATCTGCCAGAACCAGCACAGTTCAAACACTCTCCACCCAGCTTGCTAACAGTATGCCCTATCCTGCATGCTCTCCTGTAGATTCACCCCCTCCAACCCAGCATCAGTGGGATTTTTTCCCAGGCAGCTGCAGACCCCTCCTGCACCTTGTTGGTACCAGGCACCCTGCCCCTATGTTCTCCTGTGGACCCATCCCCCTCCAATGTGCCCTTGGCAGTCCATCCAAAGCAAAGCTACAAATAAGGCAATGTGCAAGTAGCCCCAAAAGGAGCCAGGACCACACCAAAGTGACTCCTGCCCCAAGGAGAGGGGAAGAGAACCATACACACCTCTCCAACTTTGGACCCAGCAGTGGGCTGGGGGCAGACATCTGGTCTGACAGCAGGCCCCACCCATCAAAAAAACCTTCTTAGGAGGATGACACGGGAACCTCACACTGCAGTTTGGTGCTACCGCAACTCTGGCAAATGCCTAATTTGACTCAACTCAAGCCCAAGGCAGCCCCAGACTGGCCCACTAACAACACAGGGACCAAACCCTGCTCAAAACAAGCAAAGAGAGCCATTGCAGATAACTGAACTAAAGGCAAATGCAGCTCAGCCACAACTGTAAGGTGCACACAACACACACAAGAGACACGACTGAAGTGCCAGGTTCTAGTGAACAGGGGTCGTTGCACTGAAGGGCACTACAGAACCTCTTCTTCATGAGGCCGCTACTTTCAAGAGCAGGAGATGTAGCTGACTTTCCTAACACTTAGAAACAGTGAGTTAGAAAAAATGAGGAGATGGCAAATATGTCCCAAATGGAAGAACAGAACAAAATCACAGCAAGAAGCTAAATGAAACAGAGATAAGCAATATGCCTGATAGAGAATTTAAAGTCATGGTCATAAAGATACCCACTGGACTTGAGAAAAGTGAGAACTTCAACAGAGAGAAAAGAAATATAAAAAAGAACCAACCAGAGATGAAGAATTCGATAGCTGAAATTTAAAATACACTAGAGGTAATAAATAGTAGACTAGAGGAAACAGATCAGTGAGGTGGAAGACTGAGTAATGGAAAGTAACTAAGCTGAACAGGAAAAAGGAAAAAGAATAATAAAAAATGAGAATAAGTTAAGGAAACTCAGAAACACCATCAAGTGTAATAACATTTGCATTATAGGGATCCAAGAAGAAGGAGAGAGAGAAAAGGGGGCAAAAATTTATTTAAAGTAATAATAGCTCAACACTTCCCTAAACTGGAAAAAGAAACAGACATCCAGATCCAGGAAGCACAGAGAGACCCTAACAAAATCAACCCAAGGAGGTCCACACCAAAACATATAGTAATTAAAATGGGAAAAAGTAGTGAAAAACAGAGAATTCTAAAAGCAGCAAGAGAGGGGTGCCTGGGTGGCTCAGTCAGTTAAGCATCTGCCTTCTGCTCAAGTCATGATCCCAGGGTCCTGGGATCGAGCCCAGCATCAGGCTCCCTGCTGAGCAGAGAGCCTGCTTCTCCCTCTCCTCCCCACTCATGCTCTCTGGCTATCTCTGTCTCTCTCTCAAATAAACAAAATCTTAAAAAAAAAAAAAAAGCAGCAAGAGCAAAGAAAATAGTTACATACAAGGGAAAACCCATAAGGCCATCAGCTGATCTTTCAGCAGAACTTTGCAGGCCAAAAGGGAGTGGTGTGATACAAAGTGCTAAAAGGGAAAAACCTACAACCAAGAACACTCCATCCAATAAGGCTATCATTCAGAATAGAAGTAGAGATAAAAAGGTTCCCAGACAAACAAAGTTAAAGGAATTCATCACCACTAAACCAGCCTTATAAGAAATGTTAAAGGGGATTCTTTGAGTAGAAACAATTCCATAAGCAGGAGTAAGAAAAGTAGGAAAGGAAAAAAAAAATTCACAGGTATGCATAGCACAAAAGGTAGTAGATTAATCACTTATAAAACCAGTATGGAGGTTAAAGCACAAAGGCAGTACAATCAAGTATATCTATAAAAATCAGTCATTGGATTCACAAAATAAAAGGATATAAGGTATGACACCATATACGTAAAATATGGTGGGGGGGGAGAGTAAAAATTCAGTTCTTTTAGAATGGGTTCAAACATAAGTGACCATCATCCTAATATAGACTGCTATATGCACAAGATATCATCTATAAACCTATTGATAACCACAAATCAAAAACCTGTAACAGGCAAAAAATAAAAAGGAAACCAAGCATATTACTAAAGAAAGCCATCAAAACACAATAGAAGAGATCAAGAGAAGAAAGGGGTAGAGAAAAAGAAAAAAAGCCATAAAACAAGTAACAAAATGGCAATAAATATATAACTAACAACAATTATTTTGAATGTAAATGGATTGAATGCCTCAATCAAAAGACACAGGGTGACTTCATCAATAATAAAAAAAAACTAGACCAATCTATATGCTGCCTACAAGGGCCTCATTTCAGACCTAAAGACACATGCAGATTGAAAGGGAAGGGATGAAAAAATATATATCATGCAAGTGGAACTGAAAAGAAAGCTGGGATAGGAATACTTATATTGGACAAAATGGACTTTAAAATCAAAAACTAATGAGGTATGGTGACTAACATAACATAATAAAATTAAATTAAAAAAAATAAAAAGTAAATAAAAATAAATAAATAAAGCAAAGACTGTACCAAGAGGCAAAGAAGGACACTACATAATCATAAGAGAACAAGCCAACAAGAAGATATAACAATTGTAAATATTTATGCACTCAACATGGGAGCACCTAAATATATAAAGCAGCTGTTAACAAACATAAAGAAACTGGTAGTAATACAATGATAGTAGGGGAATTTAACACCCCACCTATATCAGTGGATAGATCATCCAAACAGAAAATCAACAAGGAAACACTGACTTTGAATGACACATTGGACAGATGGATCTAATGAATATATTCAGAGCATTCCATCCAAAACAGAAGAATACACATTCTTTTCAAGTACACATGGAACATTCTCCAGAATACATCACATGCTGGCAACAAAACAAGTCTCAACAAATTTAAAAAGACTGAAATCTTATCATGCATATTTTCCGACTGCAATGGTATGAACCTAGAAATCAACTGCAAGGAAAAATCCAGAAATAACACATGGAGGAAATAATACATGGAGGTTAAATAACATGCTACTGAACAATCAATAGGTCAAAGATAAAAAAAGATTAAAAATACTGTTTTCAAAGGAATACATGCACCCTGATGTTATAGCAGCATTATCAACAATAGCCAAATTATGGAAAGAGCCCAGATGTGCATCAACTGATGAACAGATAAAGAAGATGTGGGATGGATATATACATATATCTCATTGGTTATTACTCAGCCATAAAAAAAGTATGAAATCTTGCCCTTTGCAACAACATGGACGGAGCTAGAGAGTATTACACTAAGTGAAATTAGTCAGTCAAAGAAAGATAAATGCCATATGATTTCACTCATATATGGAATTTAAGAAACAAAACAAATGAACATAGGAAGGAAAAAAGAGGAATACCAAGAAACAGACTCTTAACTATAGAGGACTGATGGTTACTAAAGGGGAGGTGGGTGGAGGGGTTGGGTTAAATAGGTGATGGGGATTAAGGAGGGTACTTGTTGTGATAAGCACCAAGTGTTGTATGTAGGTGTTGAATCACTAAATTCTACACCTAAAACTAATATTGCACTGTATGTTAACTAACTGGAATTTAAATAAAAGTGTGGAAGAAAAAACTAAAAAAAAAATTTTTAAATGGGTCAA